CATACTAGAAACGTTCTAGATTTCCATACCACAACGATTTCCACTGAATCGTTTGCACCTTCTCGTTGTTAAATGTTCTCTGCCTTCTCGTTGTTAAATGTTCTCTGACAATAGTATATCTGGTACATCCAAGAATGATAGAATACAAGATTGCGCCGATCAGAGAAGATTTTGAGAATAACTTTTGTGTGACGTCACATTGGTGCAATTGCGAGAGAGAAATGCCAAAACGTGAGCAAGAATGGAAGAAGAAGAAAAAATGTTGCAAGGAAAACGTAAACAAGTTGCACAAGTGTGACGTCATGCAAACCACGATTCTGTCAAATTCGTTAAGAGAGGAATAGCGGTCCGAGATCGGCGCAACCTTTGTATTCTCTCAATCGTGTGGTACATCCATGTAGAATCTTATCTGCGCTTGAGGTAAATAAATAAGTACTTACATACATATTTCTTAAAAAAAAAAATCGTTTCTATACGTACTGTTTAGCATGATAAAAACATAGCAAGGTAGAACCGTTCTCTCAATTTGTCGGCCATGATTTTTTTTTGAAGTTTGCCAACATTTTAAAATCATATAAAAGTGAAAATGAAAAATTGAAATTGTTCGAAATTGTTGTTGCTTGAGATTGAAAATGAAAATGTGTGTGTGAGTTTGTGAGTAAATTTAAAAATTAAATTGTTTGGAAACGTCAAGAATTTTAAAAGTGACTCTCAGCGGTTATACCTTACTATATTTTTATCATGCTGTTTAGTATGAATCAGACCAAGAAACCCGTTTAGATTTTGAGATACATATGAACATATACAATCAAAAAGTAGGTGTTCGCTGCTACGCTGATGACAGCCTCATTTAAATGTCTATGAAGCTAGCTGACAGCATGACAACATAATTCACAAAATATGCCTGATTTAAACCCTTATTAAGTCCTTTTTATTAGCAATTGGTCGCTTCCCTCTTCTCCGGAGTAAATCCTGTAGAAATGTTAAACAACAAAATTGTACGAGAACGAAAAAAACACCTTTCGAGTGATGCAAACAGTATCTTAAACGAATGTAGTTTGCATGTTCCCTCAAACAAAAAAGGGTCCTCAGTTATTTACATACATAAATGACAGTCGTTGGCCAGACTCGCCTAGCTCATTATCGATATTACTGTAAATATCGAGAGATATTTTTGTCTCTATCCAGCCAGATAATTTCAGGAGCTAAAAGCCCTTCCAAACGGCCATCATGAGAGTCAAGCGGGCTTCCACTTTGAATTCATTTCTCCTTTCCTTTTGGCATTTATTTAAGGTTCATATCAAATATGTTTTATAGCAAATTAAAAACCTAAACAATCTTCTTGGTAGATCTGCTTATGTAAATTTCAAGTTCTTTCTCCATATGAAATTTAAGTTGTCATTCAGAGCCTTTTCAATGATGATGATTTCTTGATATACTATGTGCGTACATACATACACACATCCATACAAACTTTCACTTTTCTCCTTTGGTAATTCTAGTTCTTTCTTCATTAAAATGCAGATTTGCGTGACAATTAGTGGACAAACTTGCTTATTCCACAACGTTGGGTACAAATTAAACCATTTTATATGTAAATTAAGTAGAATAACACGTTTTAATTATTTGGGCATTCATTGAAAGTCTGCTTCTTTTTCGGCATTCATAGAAAGTGCCTGTGAAGATTTCAATGAGTTGTTTTAACAGTAGGTCGAATATGATACGTAAATAATATTACTGAAAACATTTCAAATATAAAGAAAACTTTTCAAGAACGCCCTATTTCAGAATTTAATTGAAAAACACCCTATCTCAAAATTCGGTTCAAAAACGCCCTATCTCACTTCAAAATGTATTGAAAATATGCTGATATAGGGCGTTTTTGAATCGGCAGCTGAGATAGAGCGTTTTTGAAACGAATTCTGAAATAGGGCGTTCTTAAAAAGTTTTTTGAGATAGAGCGTTTTCGAACTGGCTGCCGATATAGGTCGATCTTCCACTCAGCCATCGATATATCGATGGTCCTGTGCAATAACGACACAATTCAAACTTCAAAAAATAAAAACCCTTACTACTGTTAAGTGGCTCATGGCTTTAATCCTGCTCGAATCCACGTCTAACCTTTAGTACTTATTTTAGCAATCCTTACTGGTTCGTTTAGTAAGGGTTGGAAATGTATTAGACAAGGATTAGAAATAGGATACACTTAACAGTAGTAACATTTTTATTTTTTTTTGAATTTTGAGTTGTGTCGTTATTGTAGAGAACCATCGATATATAAACATTTCAGAAATTTTTAAATAAAGCGCCCATATATTTAGATTTTAGGCTTTCGTGTAGTCGCCTCTTCATCAACAGCCGTTAAACAGGACTACAACGAGTATATGTGGACGATGCGAAAAGAATTCCATGAACCAGAGCCTCTCGAAGCAGAATCCGTTGTACGTGAGAATCTTTCGAATATAGGACGTAAAGCAGCAGGGCTAGGCAACTACCATAAGGTCGATTCGCCCGAATAAGAAAGCGGTTAAAGTAATCAAATACAACACGCATACAAATCGAAATCAGATATCTGGCGCCTGATCTCCAGGGAGAATAATTCAAGAAGCAAGTAAACCGTAAAAAAACTAGAAAACACACGACTTCGAAGTTTCGCGAAAAAGTAAAAAAAAAAACAAATTAGTGCAATAAAAAGATAACTATCTAAATACCTAATAGCGTCTGTGCCACATTTGAAAAGAACGCGTGTTTGACTGAGAAGTGAAAGAAAAAAAAAATCCTTTACGAAAAAAACCAAAAAGAAAACCTTACTTTTGCACATTTTTTATATTCTTTCGTTCGGTTCGTAATTTTAATTTTAGACCCCATTTTCTACCAACCAAACTATAATCTATTTAGCCAATAAACAAACAAAAAATTTTTAAATAATGGACTCTCAGCCTCCGCCTCCGCAACCGACCGCAATGCCCACCCCAGCGGAGGCACAACCTGCCCCCAGTAACCCCAACACCAGTATAGGTGCCGCGGCAGCCAGTGTGAACTATGTAACCACAACAGCCACATCCTCGGTGGCCGCACCAACGGCGACTTCAACGAACTCAGTGCCGACCTCGGTGGCGAATTTGGTAACCATACCAGTGCCGATCGTTCAAAACGAGGAGAACTATACATATGTAACAGTGAAAGGTTCCTTGCACGATCGCTCATGCGCTGTTTTTGGGCTCAACGATACGGAAATCCAAGCGCTATCGAAGCGTTTCGGGAATGGCTTGAAGGGTGCCGTAAATGGTGTAATGGTAACAATTACACCGATGGATATGGTGAACACGTTAGCGCAGTTGGGTTATAAAGTCGTTTGTAGTTGCGGCGAGGCGGAGATCAGTTGGACTATGCAACGCGAGATTTAAATATCACTTTGAAAGACAAAAGCAGAACTTCTAAAGTTAAATACTTTTGGAAATTGCAAATTTTATTGTTAAAAAAAAAAATATAATCGTTGCGGTATACTTATATTCACATGTAGTTATGAAAAAGCTTTGTTGAGAAAAAAAAGTAATCAAAAAATATGTAGAAAATTGAGCAAATATTATTACCAAATACATATGTATGCATAAAACTAAAAGCTTAAGAAAATTGTAAGAATATTATTTTTCTTTGTTAGGAATTAAAACAAACAACTGTTTTCCAAAACCCCAAAAAAATAGTGTTGAATTTCTCAATCATTGAGCTAAAAGCTAAAGCAATAAACGCATAAAGTTAAACTTATAAACAGTTGCATATACTCACACATATGTACGTACAACCTATACATTGGAAATAATTGACAAAAATTAAAAGAACTTTGAAAGCAAAATAAATTATTAACATTTAGCTAAAATGGATCTACACGATGCATAAGAAGACATAAGAAGGTTTGGTAAAAAATCGAAATTCTAGAGTTACTGCATATTGTGCACATAGAAAACCTTATTTTTTAGTATTTCCTATTATTTTCATTAAATTACTTCAAAGTAGTGGCATAGCAAGCGTGCTGAACGCCATTTTGCCTTTTTATTGTTTTTGAGGTCACATATGATGGGCAAAAGCTCGGACTCTGGAAAGCTTTCGGAAGATAATTTAGATACTAAACGAGCTCTTCCGTTACTATCAAAGATCGTTCAACAAATTATGTGTTCAAAAATTGTTCGTCAATCGCGCAGTCTCCCAAAAAACTTATTGGAACTTGAATGCCCCGGGTAAAGGCCAGGTTTACGATTTTGTTGTTTGTAGATTGGTAGTAGATACTTTCTTTATTAATAAATCCAAGTTTCCGTGCAATCTGTCGACCAGCCGTTTAGAAACGGGCAATTAATTCAGATGACAGTAGTGTTTTGCGGGCTGAATTTTCTTCATAAAAATGGGATATAATACCTTTACAGGCTTAAATTCAATATTGTCTCGCTGCTTATTAGGTTACCTATTAAAAGATTACTATTCTCCAGTGTATCTTAGGGCCAGTTTCTCAGTGCTGGTTTAAACTTAGATCACGTAAACTGCGTTTAAAATTAATAAACTAAGTTTAGACCACAGTCATGAACTGAAAAACTGGGCTTTATTGTTGCAAACTGAATCAAATATAACAATATAACCAGATAACCAGCCGCGCTTATGCCAGTAGAGTATATATATATTTACACATTTAAAATAGTTACATACGTACATTTATTATTTTCTCTTTTTTTTTTTCAATGCAGCTATCTACAACGAGCCGGAGCGCGTACGTAATTTCATTAGTCGCGGCAAATCAATGGACCGCGATGACTTCGACTACACAGCGCTTCATTACGCAGCGCGCAATGGCAATTTAGAAATATGCAAAATGCTAATCGAAGATGGCAAGGTCGATGTGGATGCTGTTACAAAAGCAGGTGCTACGGCACTACATCGCGCTGCTATGATGGGTAACTTTTGTTTACATGAAGAGGGTGTCCGAAAAGTGAAAATCAATGCCATTTAGCACAAGGACATTCAAAATTTTGGTTATATTAGCATTGGATTTTCTTAAAATTTGTCTAACGTATGCGGAATGAAATGTGGGCAATTTCTAAGCAGACTTAAAAAATTGTGGTAAACACAGGAGCCAAAGGAACAAAGGAAATGTCGGGTTTTTAGAATAGGAAAACAGTAGAAGGAAAACCCACGAGTGCGAAAAAGCATGTTTAACATGCTGCGAAATGAGACCGTAACAAGATTCATAAATTGCCTGAAATTTGCAAAATCACAGCGTATAATGATTATAAAGTACAAAGTAGCAAAAAAAAAAAAAACATTTGAGGATATAGTGAAATATGTGCAAACCACTTTACCCAAGATTTTTAAACGTGGAAAAGGAAAATTAAAAGCGGCTATGAGCGCTTTCCCAAAATTTGTTTGCACCACATTCATTTCAGTTTTGTACAACGGATTAGGGAAATATTTTTGGCTTTTCGAAGTCCATTTAGCAACAGGAAATAAGAAATTGCGGAAAGCGGGGAATCCAGCTTTTTGAGAAATTAAAACATAAAAATAATAAAGCAAGTGAAGAAAAGCTGCCATTTGGCCAGCCTTAATACGTTTTAGTATATTCCACATAATTTTTGACACTTCTCGCAGCGAAGCAAGCAAAGCAAGCCTGCATTGGGCCAGCACCTACAACGTTATTTGTGACTGTGACTTTGCAGTCAAAATGATTTTCATCCGTGACTGTGACAAAAACCGTGACACAAAAGTTGCAAACAGGAATATTTTACCGAGTGAACTAACGGCATTATTTATTTATTTGGCATCACTGACTTTCCTTGTTTGTTTTGGTCATCCACATTCATTTTTAATGGTGTGAAATGTGTAATATCAAACAAGATTAATCAGATTTTAAGCTGATGCCAGATAAAACTCTGTGACTTTGCGTGACATTTATAACTTCGCCAGCAAAGCGCCAGACGCATAGGTATGCCACAATGAACGCCAAGAAAACAATTTTTTGCTGCTCTTTTACTCGTCAAATATGGATTTCATATATTTAGCTTTAAAAATATCATCAATGTAATTAAATTTTATGTTTCTGCATGAAAACTCGAATTCGGACGCGTTGCAGCTGCAACGATCTATGTGGCATGCTTTGTGCATTTTCATACAATTCATTTTATCTGTCAAAGCGAATCTGTCACGCAAAGCGAAGCAAGCGTTTTATCTGGCATCAGCTTTAAGGCCTGTATGCAGCTCTCAAGAAAAGCAAAAACTCCATATAAAATGACGTACAAGAAATGGCTAAGAAATTTTCTTGAGTCAAATTTCCTTAAGGCAGAACGCAGTTCTTAAGAAATTTACTACGCTTTCTACTACGGTTTTCTAAAGTTTTTTGTGAAAAAAGAGCACAAGGCAACCCAGGTTTGCAACAGAAATATATGCCCGTTCCATTATTTCTTGAGGAAAGAGTGAGGCAACAGGCTATGAAGTTTCAAAAACGTCAAAATTCCTTGGACACACACACGAAATAATGGCAATTTTTTCTTGACCGTTTTCTTGAGAGCTCTGTATGCAGCTTAAGTCTTAAATAACTGGTCGCAGTTCCTCGATATGTAATTGCGACCAGGGTTGCCATTTTGGGGTTTTCCTACCAAAATTGGTAGGTTTTTTCTCGTTTGTAGGATGGTAGGACGCTTAAAATTTTGGTAGGTTTCATTGCTCATAAAACATCTCTGGTTTGTTGTAGTGTGTCACTTTGTCAGCACTGTGAGTAGGCTTGCCAAATTGGGACAATATCAGTTTTACCCTCATTCTGTTCCTTGGATGGGTCCAACTGTTTGCCAAATATCTTAAAAACCGCGTTGCTTACTGGTATAGGCAGAATTTCACCAATTACCTTCGGCGATTCTCTGAACTCCGTATACGCTATAAAAATTTGTATCCACTGGGTATCTAAAGGGATATCAAGTGATTGAATTGATGGACGTAACGGCAGGTTTATAAATCAAATATTTTTCTTTGAATTGCAGTGGCGAATCGATAATAGATTCAACAATGACAAGGTTATTAAAATAACAAATGTACGTGTTTACAGAATATGATATTTTTTTTCATAAACAAAAATTAAAAGGAAAACAACTTATTGTTTCCAGTAAATTGGAGGATCTCAAAGTTTTTAACCGGGTTCAGCGGGCCGAATTACATGTCGGTACGTGAGTCTGTGCTATGCATAATATGTTCTTTAATATCTATATACTAGCTATTATTCTGATCCTTTTGTTTACCTAGATATCTTATTTTGAGTATAAAATATTTTCTGCCGTCAAACTCCGTTTTCTTAAATGGTAGGAAAGAAGCCATTTTGGTAGATTTTTGACCAGCTCTTGGTAGGAAAGAAAGTTTTTCAGTGGTAACCCTGATTGCGACTGCTGCTTTATCACAGTCACAGTTCGTACAGCGGCTGTGACTGTTACTGTCATTGTAGAAGACGCAATCCTACTAAAAGCATTATTGCGACTGTTCCTTTGTAACAGTCTGTCCCGGTGATTCTTTGGAAGTTGTCACAGCAATTACCCGTGACTTTTGAGTAACCGTGACAAGGTCACAGGTCCGCAAATATCTGCCACCAAATGCCATCTAATACGGATGCAGGTAGCAACAAATTGTTTTCAGATCTGCCGCAAATTGCAGTTCATTTACTTTGACTACATAGGTCTAATGCAGACCTTGAACTTTATTCAGTCAGCTAAACTTGGTCAACGCAAAGCTACGCAGCGGTATACACTTACATATATACATATAGTTATATTAACTTTATTCTTATTTTTTATTTCTTATTTTTATTATTAATTTTAATTTCAAGTAGTGTTTCAAATGAATTTCTTTAAATTATTTTAATCTAAGCCTGGATTTTTTTACTCGAAAATAGTTGGCAGCACTGCCTAAATATAACTCTGAACTATTTATCGCCTAAATGGCTAAAAAAACAATAACTCAATTTGGCACAATAAGTTTTCAAAAAACCCTGCGCTTTATGCCTGAGAACTTAAACATATCAATCGTTATGGACATGAGTATTTTCTATAAAAGTTTTTCTTGTAAATTTCGACAATATCTATGTGAGCGGAAAAACAGTATTTGTTGCATCCGAAAGTATAGCTGGTTCTTTTTACTGCATCAGTTCGCATTTCATTCCGCACACGTTATTATTAAAGTACGTTCAGACTTTATACCTTTGTCGGAAATTTTGTGACGCTAATTTCCTCACTAGGCATTCATAAGTGAACTAAGAACCAAAATGAAAAAAACGTCGATTTTATGTTTGAGTCTTCTAAGTTAAAGACTCGTGTATAAACCTTGATACTTGATTAAAAATGGCTTATTATATAAAATTTCAAAATCGCTTACTATAATTTCAAAACAAAGTGAAACGTTTTGGGTCACCCAGTGTGCAAAAATAAATTATTTAATATTATTTACTAATTTATATACTAATAGCAAACATTTCTTCCTATTTTTCGTGCAGGTAATTTAAATGTAGTCAAATTATTGGTGGGCGCCAAGGCCAAACTCCAATTGCAAGATGAATATGGTCAGACAGCACTTCATCGGGCCGCTATACGTGGTCACTTGGAAGTTTGCAAATTTCTGCTCGAAATGGATCCAAAATTGAAGGAAATTAAGGATAAGAAAGACAAAATTGCATACGAGTATATAATGGAGAACGCCAATGATGATTTCAAAATATTACTTAAGCCTTAAAGTCAAAACGCAAACGAAACCGCTAAAATTTAAAAATCAAGTTGCATATACTACATATACCATGAAGTAGCAAAAATAGAAATGCTATCACAAAATATCTAAAAGCTGCATTTTTACACCAAAACACTAAGTAAGCGTACGTACATCACATTCATGGATTCAATTGCGTGCACATCTACTTATTTTCAAATATAAATACATACATACATATTTGCAGTCTACACATTCTTCAGCACTTTTCTACACAGTGCGTACCTTGCCTTATATATTTTTGCGCAACTATCATTGGAATAAATATTCGGACAATTGGATGTTTCAAATTATTTTCATGTTTTATTGACACGTCTGCTTAATGGAACTTTCGGCATTACAAAATGCCAATTTAAACTACATACCTACATACATGTATATGTATGTCATGATTATTTATATTTTATTTTGTAATTCTAATTTCAATTAGTATATTCTAGAATACATATGTATATCTATTTTTAGCTACAAGCTACAAACATTCTTATTGATTTGTTGAGGTTGAATTTATGTTTGTTGCACTTTTTGAGCTTATTTTGCCTTTACTACACAGTATATGTATCTATATATTACCTTTATGTATATGTATATTGAATACAATAACCATGCGTACTCTGAGTTGTATTCAAAACGTTGTATTTTGTAGTTCAATATCATAAAATTTTATACTACTGAATGATGTGAGATCATTTTAAAAATACATACATACATACATAGATGCATTTCAAAAACTAATAAAATTTGATATCGATATATAAAATTTGATATCGATATATAAAATTTGATAATAATAAATATATATTATTCTTCCTCTTAAAAGTTTAATTTTTCATATATGTACATACGTACAACAAACTTTGCCATCCATTTAGGAGGACTACATTCAGTATAACAAATTTGTTTTTTTTTCTTCTACTGTTAACACTTTTCTTTCAAATGCAATCTTGTATTAGGGTAACTCTAATATCATCTATATCATCAAAAGGTTTACCTAAGGAACACTTGAAATCGATTCTAGTACTCTGTATGCGAGTGCAAGGAGCTGCTTCTAATTTATGAATATGTATGATACGTGTATGTGTATACTAAATTGTTTTCTACGCAAGATTTCCGACGTCAGATTCTCTATGAATGCAACTAAAAAATCATTCAGGTTAGAACGATTCCGTTGTTTTTTCGAACAAAGCCTCAAAATCCTCCAAAATATTTGATTTGCATAGCAAACACTTTGTACCTTTATTTTAAGTTTTCAGCAAATACATATACATGTATCATACGTTTAATAATATATATAGAGATTTGATTCAAAATTTACGTTTTTGGAGATTTCATAAGAAGAATATGTTTAGTGTAACAGACAACTAAACTCCCCAAAAATGACGAAGATATGTGGATGGCCGGTCCTATGTAATAACGAGACAATTCAAAATTCGAAAAATAATTTTTTGCATTTTGTATTGTGTCGTTGTTGCAAGAGACATCATCGATGTGTCTTCATCTTTGTTCTTTTTGTATACCTACTATATGAATTGATCAAACTTTTATTGAGTTTTCCCACCAATTTAAAATTTTGAAACTATTCTCGTCATTATTAAACGTGCTTTTGCTGAATACGTTTTAGGTGCTAAGATTTCGAGCCTGCCTATGTATATCTTTTGCTCTTTCACATGACGTTGGCTTTGCTCGAATTACTATTTCTTTATTTCTATCTCTGTGAACGTAATTCTCTCAATTTTCTCATTCTTTTTCTTCCTGATAATTATCTACTAGAAGAGAAAAGAAGCAAAGCCATATACTTAATATATGTAGTCTTATCTAATGTGCAATTTTCAAGTCGGACTGTGTTATTTAGTAAACGAATCGAAAAGTAATGAACCTAAGGCTGGCCGCATACATAAGATTTTCTTATCAGATTATCGCAATCGTCTGTGTCGAGGCGAATTTATACAAGGTGGTCTTGATGGCGAATTAAATTTTCGCCGCGGTACTACTGAATGTCAAAATGATGTGTTTGTTGTAAACAAGGCGAATTCATTTTACAACAAACACATCATTTTGACATTAAGACGTGCCTCGGCGAGAATCTAAATTCGCCATCAACAAAACCTTGTATAAATTCGTCTTCGTCCGTGTTATCGGTGTGCGGGACGTTCATTTCATTCTTTCATTTATTTCATTTTATTTTCAGCTTCAGGTTTTGGAAACAGACGAACCATTGCGATAATCGGATAGGAGAATCCTACGTTCTACGGCCGACCCAATAGAAATTTCGCCCGTTATTTCAGTATTTCGAGCACGCCCTTAATGACCATTGAATCGATATCAATCAGTATATCCAAAAATTCAAAGTATTAATCAAGAAAGTACTAGTGGGTCTAATGATCCCAGTGGCGACTTATACATATAAATTGTGTTTTATAACTGCATAGAGCACAACGAATGAGCCATTTTCAAATCGCCGTTATCACCGCACCAGGCATCATTTGAAGCAAAACTGAAAATCAAATGGAATCCTGTATCCCCTCTCTCAGTCAATTTGTCTTCAAACCCTGTAATATAAAACATATTGATATCCTCATTCCGGTGCATTGGTTTTAGAACTATGTATAGTAAAATGTCTTAAGTTAAAGCCGCTGCAACAAGAATTTTGAATGAGAATGAGCAAGTCGAAGTTTGAAGAAGTACAATTAGAATAGTTTCGAAACTAAATGAATAGAAAGACCTTACAAAAGCGGGTATATTGAAATTGAGGAATCCTACAATGCAAAACATCCGACTTTTATTTCTAAACTATAATTGATGGAAATGACAAATTTGCGTAATCCGACATTTCCATCAGCGTTAGTTTTTATGTTTAGTTTTATGCAAGCTTTTACACTTTTTGCAATATTTCAGCAACCATTCATTCGAATCTTCTGTTTTTTTTACAGCAATTAGAAGACTTATTGGGCAACAAGGTAAAGTGGTCAGTTTGTAATATTTCGACTTTGTTTTTACAAAAAGTTTTATTTTTA